TTTCAGTCCTCTCTTATCTTAAAGGTTTTGGAAGCTTTCCTATGTAGTGTTTCAACTGAAAATAATGACACTCATCCATTCTCCTAAAAACCTCTTTTTTTTTCCAATTCCTTAAGTGATCCTATTTCCTCCCCCACCATTATATCCCTTAATTGTGCATCTTCCTTCTTAATCCACTTCCCTGTGATACGTTCTTTACATGGGGGGGGAAAACTCTGTGGACTTTAAGGGCATTAACAATGAATTAAATTCCCCTCCCATCTGTTTTTTGTAAAACATCCCAAACTCTTGAAACATTAAATGTGAACAAACTTGTACTGTCTGCTAATCCTCTGTATTATGGAGGTAACCATACAATTCCACTTAATTTAGTATTACTTAGTATATTTTCTATTTTAACCCAGCTTTTCCCTCTGCATTATATGTCCATTCAAAAATTCTCTCCATTATTACCGAGTTATAATATCTTTTTAAACCTGGGACTCCCAATCCTCCTTTCTCTTTATTTCTACATAAAATGTCCTGGCTTAATAATCTCGGTTTTTTATTCCTCCAAATAAATCTTTACATTTTTTTTAATTGATCTAAAGTATACTTCTGGTAGTTTAATTGGTATCATTTTAAATTTATATAATATTTTTGGAACAATCACCATTTTTATCAAATTTATACGACCTACCATGACGGGGTTCCCCCTCCTAATTTCCTTATTTCATCCCTGATCTCATTTAACAATGGGATATAATTCAATTTATACAAGTTCTTGGTGGATACAGTTAGTTTTATTCCTAGGTATTTCAATTCTTTTTCTCTCCAAAGGGAAATCCCTCCTGTAACCTATTTTTCTCTCTATTTGGTAGATTTATGTTTAACATTTCTGTTTTTGTTGGGTTAATTTTTAAATTTGACATCTCCCCATATTTTTTCAGTGATTTCATTAAATTTGGCAATGTTATCCTTGGGTTTCCCACATAGAACAGCATGTAATCTGCATAAGCAGTCACCTTATGCTCCGTATCTCCTATCCAAATTCCTTTTATATCTATATTTCTTATTGTAGCCAAAAGAGATTCCAATGATAAAACATATAGCAATGGAGACAAAGGGCATCCCTGTCTAGTTCCATTCTGCATCCCAAAATACTCTGACAATTCCCCATTAACCATGATTGCTGCAGAGGGTTGACTATATAATTTCCTTATCCACTCTCTCATTCTAGGTCCCATCCCCAATACTTCCAAATGTATCCAACATATATCCCCAATCTACTCTATCAAATTCCTTTTCAGCATCGATAGAGAGTACCACCGCAGTAATTTTCTCTTTCCTACTTTTTTGTATGAGAAACAGAGATTTCAGTCTGTTATCTCTACCCTCTCTCCCTGGGACAAAGCCTACTTGGTCTATGTGTATCCATTCCGACATGGGCTTGTAGGGATTCCCTCATTTCCATCTCTCCTCTCAATGCATTCATATATATCCTCATTTTAGGTACTATTAATTCTTTATATTTTTTATAATATCTTGCTGTGTATCCATCAGGTCCTGGACTTTTCCCAGCTATAGTATTCTTTAATGCTAAGTGTATTTCCTCCTGCGTTATTGCTGATTCTAGGGATTTTAATTGCTCCTCACTTAATTTTGGTAATCCTGCCTTTTTTAAGTATGTCTGTCTTTTTTCCTACTTCATCTTTACTTATGGAGCTGTGGGGGATAATATTATATAACTTATTATAATATTCTTTAAACACTTTAGCTATATCTTTAGTTGAATACATTAATTCTCCTTTGTGGTCTCTTATTTTCTCTATATAGTTCCTAGATTTTTTTTTTTTTCTCTGAGCCCTTATTAAGTACTTTCCTGTTCTATCTCCCCATCTGTATCTCTCACTTACCATTTTATTGAACACTCTTCTCTTATCTTCTTCCAGAAATGTATTTAATTATTTTATTTATTACCCTCTACATAATCTCTTTTGTTACTTTATGTTTATGTATCTGCTCTAACTCAGAGTTCACTAAGAAGCGTGTTTTTATTTTTTCTCTTCTTTCCCTGTTCTTTTTTGCTCCAATCGCTATCAGGATTCCTCTAATATAGGCCTTATGAGTCTCCCACACTGTTGCTACGGACACTTCCCCAGAATCATTTTCCTCAAAAAATTGCTCTATTTTCTTTTTTAATTCTTTGATCCACCTCTGAATCCTGGAGAAGTGTCTCATTTAACCTCCATAATTTCCCCCCGATCTGCTCATTTCCCCATAATAATTGTATTGTGACAGGGGCATTGTCCGATATTGCCATCACTTCTATATTTACTTTGACCAGAATTTAAATCGATGATCTAGCCATATATAATCCATTCTTGAATACATCTCATGTGCATGAGAAAAAAAAACGTATAGTCTCTGTCCTTCATGTGCTTAATTCTCCATATATCTACACGTTGACATTGGTATATCATTTTTTTCAAGGATTTCAGAAAGCTACTACCATCTCTCTGCACAGGGGACGTCATATCCATCTGGGGATCCATGCAGAGATTGAAATCACCTTCCACAATTAAATTGCCTTTTTTGCAATCCATTAACTTCCTCAGAGTATTTTTTAGGAATACCTCCGGTTTCTTATTCGGGCAATAAATATTTGCTAATGTACAGTCTATTTCCTGTAATTTTCCCTTCAGAAACAGAAATCTCTCTTCCGGATCTACCAATCTGTCTTCCAGTTTAAACCTTATATTTTTCTCAAAACCTATTGCCACTCCCTTGGCACGTTTAATTGGGGAATCTGCATAAAACCACATTGGATAATATCTGGAATTTAATTTCACATTTGATTCTTGCACCAAATGTGTCTCCTGTAAAAAAAAAAAAAAAAAAAAAAAAAAAAAAAACACTGAAGAAAATCTATGTTGAATTTCTTTAAAAATCCCAAATCTCTTCCCAGGGCTATTTAAGTTTTTAACATAAGTCACAAAGTGAATCTCTTCCATTCTTCTCCTCTACACACCTCTAACTTCCCCATCTCTTCTCTCTTCCTCTTTCCTCCACATCTTCCCCTTTGATCTCTAGGATTTCTCCAGACTGATGTTTTCCCACTATTTTGCAGAGTCTTAACTACCTATCCTCTTCCCATACCCTCCTCCCACTCCCCCCCCCCCCACCCCCGTCCCTCCACCCCTCCCACTCCTCTCCCTCCCCCCCCCCCACCTCCCTCCACCTCCCTTTAGGCTTATATTTTGCCTATGAATCATTTGTAGTCCTAACAACACCTTTGATTCAGCTTTTAAGGTGAAACTCTGACTATGAACTTTTCCCCAATAAGCGTGTCTCATCCTCCATGTCCTGCCATACTCTAGTAAACTTCAAAGAAAATAAGAGAGAGGCAGAAATGGAGGGAGAGAAAGAGAGATGAAAAAAAGGGGGAGAGAACCCCTCCCTCCCATCTTATTCCTCTTTCTATTCCTACTCTCCTACTATTTCTACTGTTTATCCTTAGAGCTACCTGCCTCCCCTCATTTTCCATAGCCCGCATTTCTCTTTCTTCTTCCTCCTAACCAGGGATATTTATTTTCTGTATATCAAGTCTCTCACAAAACTCTCTCTCAGATCTTCGAGGAATCTCAGTCTTGCTGAACGTCCATTTCTCCATCCGATCAAACACGCTGGAAACCCCCAGCTATATCGAACATTCTGTTTTCTCATCTGTTCCAGTAACAGTTTCAAAGTTCTCCTTCTTATTAATGTTTCTGCTGCTAAATCAGCAAAGATCTGTATATTTATTTCTCCATATTTTATTATTGCTCTTCCTTTTATCTTCTTCCAAAGCTCTTCTTTATCCTGAAAATTATGGAATTGCACTATTACATCTCTTGACTTTTCCTTTCTATCTTCTTGTATGTATTTTCCTATTCTATATACTCCCTCCATTTTGAGAGGCTATGTTATCATTCTATCCATTATAGTATTCAGCATTCTCGTTATTATTCCCGTCAAATCTTCTCCTTGGGAGATCTCTGGAAAGCCTCTTATCCTTAGATTGCATCTCCTATCCCTATTCTCCTGGTCTTCCAATTTATATAACATATTTCTTTGTTCTTTTCTCATTTCCATCGCCCGTTTTTTTAATTTCTGTATAATTTGGCCATGTTTATCTAGTTTTTCTTCCGTCTCCTCCCCCCTTGATAATATTTGCCCCAGGTCTTTGTGTAATTTCGCCAGTTCCTGTTTTAGGGAACTTTCAAGTCTTTTAAACATTTCTGCTATTTCTGGCTTAGTAGTCATCTGTGAGCTCTCCTCTTGTTCTTCAACTTTCTCCATATCCACTTCTTCTTCCATATGTTGACTACTGTTAGCTATTCCCAGGGATAGTCTGAAATATTCCCCGCCGTTTTCCCTCTCATCTCTTACACTTATTCCCTGTTGTCTCTCTGGAGTCTGTTTCTCCTGTGAGGGTATACATTTTTTAATTGACCCTGTTTGGGAAGCCTTAGGCCCTCCTCCCTTTGATACTTTGTTTTTCATGCTGTCAGGGACTATTTCAATTTTCCGCAGTTCTGGTTTTGGTGGGGGGGGGGTGGGGTCTATTTTTGATTTGATATCAAAATTTGTTGTCTTCCATGGGTATCCCCCTCTCCGTTCTTTTCTTCCTTTTTCTCTCCCCCCACTCCCGAACTCATCTACCCGGGTCCTCTTCTTCTAGGTCTTTATCTGTTTTACATTGTCCTCCTTCTGATTTTCCTCTAAGACCCCCCTGGGTAAACCCCTCCTCAGTTTAAACATAAAGTTCAATACATACAGTTCAGTTCCCATACAATATATTAATCTCAGTATTTTTGCCGCTCTCACTCACCCTCTTATCCCCAATACAGCTTTTCCCCCGTATGACATCTCTGTCACATATGAAGAAAGGGGCTTCTCTGAAAAACATTTCCTGCACTCCGAACAGGTATACAACTTCTCCTCCATGTAAGATCTCTAATGTATGTGAAGACTGGACTTCACTGAAAAGTATTACCCACACTCAGGACAGACATATGGCTTTTCACCTGTGTAAGATCTGATATATGTAAAGTCTAGACTTATCTGATAAAACTTTTCCCGCACTTAGAACAGGGATATAGTATCCTCCTCATGTGAGATCTCTGACATACATGCAGGCTGGACTTCTGTGAAAAACATCTCCCGCACTCCGAACAAGGGCATGGCTGCTCCCTCCTGTGCCATCACTGGTATATATAAAAATAGGACTTACATAAAAAACATTTCCCGCACTCCGGACAGGTATGCAACTTCTCCTCCATGTAAGATCTCTGATGTGTGTGTGAAGACTAAGCTTCACTGAAAAGTAATTCCCGCACTCAGGACAGACATGTGGCTTTTAATCTGTGTTAGATCTCTGATATATGTAAAGTCTAGTTTTGTCTGAGAAAACATTTCCTGCACTTAGACCAGGGATATAGCATCTTCCTCTCATGTGAGGTCTCTGATATATATGCAGGCTGGACTTACTTGAAAAACATTTCACGCACTCGAAACAGGAATACTTCTCCCCCATGTGAGATCTCTGGTTTCTATAGAGACTGAACTTCTCTGAGAGACTTTCCTGCACTTTAGGACATCTCTTCCTTTACTCCAAGTGAGGGGGGTGAGGCGGCTCCAGGTACTCTCTTCTGGGGAACATTGCACTCAACATTCCCCTCACATAACGAGTGGATTGCAGGGGGGGAGTTCACCCAGCCCGTTACGCATGTCTCCAGCTACCACGGTACTGTGTAAAGGAGGAAGAGAGCCGGCGTCTCCCTTGCTCCAAGAAATGCCGGCCGGCTCCTCTGCCTCCCAGAGCTCCGGGGCACACACAGCGTCGGGCCGAGAACACAGGAAGACCCGCCGTGATGACCGCCACTCCCGGAGGTCCTTGGTCCACACTCCCCACCAGGCAGGCCCCCCCTCTCCCCAGCTAGTCTTTCCAGGGCTTCCCGCACATCTCTCCCCTTCTCGGCAGGGCACTGGAGGTGCTTGGGAGCTGGGAGCCCTCACATCAAGCTCCCGCTCCAAGCCATGGTCAGGCTCCTTCCAGGCATCATCATCGCATTCTGTTCTATGCAAGCACTAACATAGTTATCTGCCATCTTGATTAACGGTCTCTAGACTGGCCTGCAACATGTTCGCCACCTATCAGTAATAGGGCACACTTGCCACTTACTACTGCATGTAGCACCGCCACGCTAGCATCCTTTTTATACCTGGAAATTAAAGTCCCGGTTTGACTTGAACGACCCTCGTAATTCGTACAAATTAGACTAGAAACATCGTCCAGGTTGCTGTCTGCTCATAAGGAGCAAGTAAAGCTGAATAGCAGAGTTGTTCAATTTCCCGTTGAAGATCTGCCAGCTGGTCTACACCAGAGCTGTAAGATGCTGAATGTAATTAAACACAAAAATTACATACAGTGTGGAAAATAGTTATTTGATCCCCTGAAGATTTTGTAAGTTTGACCACTTGCAAAGAAATGAAGGGTCTAGAATTTAATCATAGGTGTATTTTAACTGGTAGAGACAGAATATCAACCGAAGAAAGATCTAGAAAAAACACAATACAAATGTTCTAAATGGAGTTGCAGTTCAGGGAGTAAAATAAGTATTTAATCCCCAAGCAAAACATGACTTAGTACTTGGTGGAGAAACCCTTATTGGCAAGCACAGAGGTAAGACGTTTCTTGTAGTTGGTTAGCAGGTTTTGCACACATCTCAGGAGGGATTTTGGTCCACTCTTCTTTACAGATCTTCTCTAAATCCTTAAGGTTTCTTGGCTGTTGCTTGGCAACTTGAAGTTTCAGCTCCCTCCCTAAATTTTCTATAGGATTAAGGTCTGGAGACTGGCTAGGCCACTCCATGACTTTAATGTGCTTCTTCTTGAGCCACTCCTTTGTTGCCTTGGCATTATGTTTTGGGTCATTGACATGCTGGAAGACCCATTCACGACCTATCTTTAGTGTTCTAGCTGAGGGAAGAAGGTTCTCATCCAAGATTTTACAATACATGCCCCCGTCCATCGGCCCTCAATGCAGTATAGTCTGCCTGTACCTCTTAGCAGAGTCTGCCTGTACCTCTTAGCAGAGATACAGCCCCAAAGCATAATGTCTCCACCTCCCGTGCTTGACTGTAGGGATGGTGTTTATAGCCAGCATTTTTCTTTCAACAAACACGGTGAGTCGAGTTAATGTCAAAGAGCTCAATTTTGGTCTCATCTGAGGAAAGCACTTTCTCCCAATCCTTCTCTGAATCATTTAGATGTTCATTGGTAAACTTCAGACACAATGTGCCTTCTTGAGGAGGGGGACCTTGCGAGCTCTGCAGGATTTTAGTCCATGGCAGCGTTTTGTGTTACCAATGGTTTGTTTGGTGACTGTGGTCTCAACTGCCTTGAGATCATTTACAAACTCCTCCCATGTGATTCTGGGCTGATCCCTCACTTTTCTCATGAACATCCTTACCCCATGAAGTGAAATTTTGAGTGGAGCTCCAGACCAAGGGCGATTTATGGTTATTTTGTATTTCTTCCATTTGCAAATAATTGCTCCAACAGTTGTCTCCTCACCAAGCTTCTTGCTGATGGTCTTGTAGCTCATTCTAGCCTTGTGCAGGTCTACAGTTTTGTCCCTGACGTCCTTTGACAGCTGTTTGTTCTTGCCCATGGTGGTGAGGTTTGAATGAAAGAAAGAAATTCTGTCGACATCTGTCTTTTATACACATAACGAGTTGTCGTTAGGAGCACCTTCTTAACCACTTGCCCTCCTGAGGATTTACCCCCTTCCTGACCAGGCCATTTTTTGCGTTTACTGCGCTGCTTTACTTTAACTGACAATAGCGCAGTCATGCATGCTGCACCCAAATGAAATGTATGTCCTTTTTTACCCACGAATAGAGCTTTCTTTTGGTGGTATTTGATCTCTTGTGTGTTTTTTTTTATTTTTTTTACGCTATTAAAAAAAAGACTGACAATTTTGAGAAAAGAAACAATATTTTTGGCTTTTTGCTATTAAACATGTCCTTTAAAAAATCAAATTTCACCATAAATTTAAGCCAAAATGTAATCTGCTACATGTAAATTAATTGGTTTATGTGAAATGTATAGCGTTTACAAATGGCGGTGTATATAGTGTATATACTGTTTTTTTTTTTTTTTTTTTTAAATGTATTTTTTATTGGTAATGACGGCAATCAGCGACTTATAGCGAGGCTGCGGGACTCCGGTGGGCATTCTGACACTGGGGGGGAACTGACTTGGTGTCACTGACATCCCCAATGACACCAATACAGTGATCAGTGTTAATAAAAAGCACTGACACTGTACTAATGTCACTGGGCAGGAAGAAGTTAACATGTGGGGCGATCAAAGCGCTAACTGTGTGCTGTTTTGCATACTGGACTGTGTTTGTGCTTCACTGTAAGCACACTGCCTTGCATGGCTGTGCAATGCAGTGTGCAGGAGCTGACAGGGGAGAGAATGGTTTTGTTTACTTCTGCTATAGAGTGGACAGTAAGCGGTTAAATTGACAGGACTAATCTGTGAATCACATGAGCACATAGCCAGTCTGTGGGAGACAGAATTATTGTTGGTTGGTAGGGGATCAAATACTTATATTACTCACTGAACTGAAACTCAATAACATTTTTATTGTGTTTTTTCTGAATTTTTGGTTGATATTCTGTCTCTATCATTCAAAATACACCTATGATAAAACGTATAGACGCTTCATTTCTTTGTAAGTGGGCAAACATACAACACTTGCAGGGGATCAAATAATTGTTTTCCCCACTGTTCGTAAAACATGGAATAAGAAAATAAGAGCTTAGAAAACATGAGGATTGAAATTAGGAAACTACCATGCTGACTGCTTTAAAAATGTACAGGTGTCAGAGGTGTCACCCTGACTAGTGAGTGACTTCAAACAAGTATGGAGGACAGAGGTATAGACTTTACTGTCTTAACTGATTTCATGCATGTCCTGGGTCACTGACTTGCTAAGTATTTGTAGCAGAGCCAGTGCATATGACAATTAAGCTGGCAATGGAAGCTCACATAATTCGGTACTTACAGGTTTTCTTTAAAGTGGAACTGCACTGCATGTGATCACCACAAACCAAAAATGCTATTTAATTGTTCATGTTCAACGCAAACTCGCCCATCCATCCATGTCTCCATGCTTTGTGTTTCTGAAAATTAATTTTGAAAATTAATTTTAACCCTCTGATATTTCTGGAAGTGACCATCTTGAGAAAGGGCAGATTATTCATGTGGCATTTACTTCCTGGAATCCATCTGCCTTTAGCTCAGGCAAGTAAATATAATATACCTTCTTAATATACCTTTAAACCAAGTAAATATAATATACCTTCTTATCTATAAAGGAATGCTAGCAGCACAAGGATTAAAAATAGTCCATGTTGACTGAGAGAGTGAAGCTCCGCTTTAAATAGAACCCAATTAACTACTTGCCAACCACAGATAGCTGAATGACAGCTACACTGCGGCCGGCCAGTTCTGGGAGGGCGTCATATGACGTCCTCCCAGAACGCACTCTCCTGCGCGCCCCCGGCGATCTCTGTGATCGCTGTGTCCTACGGACACAGCTGATCACGTGATGTGGTAAAAGGCCAATCACAGCGGCCTATTACCACGTGATCAGCCGTGTCCAATGACACGCTGATCACCGGGAAATGCAATTGCCAGTTCTCGGCTGCACTTTCCTTGCGCTGTCAGAGCGCGAGGAAAGTACTGCCGAGAACCGGCAGTTGTCAGAGCAGGGATCGGCACCGATCATCAGGGCACTGATGATCAGTGCCCTGATGATCGGTGCCCAGCAGTGCCACCCAGCAGTGTACCCACCTGTGCCCAGCAGTGCCACCTACCTGTGCCCAGCAGTGCCACCCACCTGTGCCCACCAGTGCCCAGCAGTGCTGCCAGTCAGTGCCACCAGTCAGTGCCCAGCGGTTGTGCCAGTCAATACCTAGCAGTGCCGCCAGTCAGTGCCCAGCAGCAATGCCAGTCAGTGCCACCTATCAGTACCCATCATCAGTGCCACCTCATTAGTGTTGCCTTTCAGTGCTGCCTATCAGTGCCCATCAGTTCCGCCTATCAGTGCCCATCAGTGCTGCCTCATCAACGCACATCAGTGAAGAAGAAAAATTACCAGTTTGAAAAATTTTATAATAGAAACAAAGAAACTTATTTTTTTTTAATTTTTTGCAGTTTTTTTTGTTTATAGCGCAAAAAGTAAAACGCTATTATATACCACCAAAAGAAAGCTCTATTTGTGAGAAAAAAATGATAAAAATTTCATATGGGTACAATCTTGCATGAACGCGCAATTGTCATTCAAAGTGCAACAGCGCTGTAAGCTGAAAATTGGCCTGGTAAAGAAGGGGGTATACAGTCAGGTCCATAAATATTGGGACATCGACACAATTCTAACATTTTTGGCTCTATACACCACCACAATGGATTTGAAATGAAACGAACAAAATGTGCTTTAACTGCAGACTGTCCGCTTTAATTTGAGGGTATATACATCCAAATCAGGTGAACGGTGTAGGAATTACAACAGTTTGCATATGTGCCTCCTACTTGTTAAGGGACCAAAAGTAATGGGACAGAATAATAATCATAAATCAGACTTTTACTTTTTAATACTTGGTTGCAAATCCTTTGCAGTCAATTACAGCCTGAAGTCTGGAACGCATAGACATCACCAGACGCTGGGTTTCATCCCTGGTGATGCTCTGCCAGGCCTCTACTGCAACTGTCTTCAGTTCCTGCTTGTTCTTGGGGCATTTTCCCTTCAGTTTTGTCTTCAGCAAGTGAATGCATGCTCAATCGGATTCAGGTCAGGTGATTGACTTGGCCATTGCATAACATTCCACTTCTTTCCCTTAAAAACTCTTTGGTTGCTTTTGCAGTATGCTTTGGGTCATTGTCCATCTGCACTGTGAAGCTGCGTCCAATGAGTTCTGAAGCATTTGGCTGCATATGAGCAGATAATATTGCTGAAACACTTCAGAATTCATCCTGCTGCTTTTGTCAGCAGTCACATCATCAATAAATACAAGAGAACCAGTTCCATTGGCAGCCATACATGCCCACGCCATGACACTACCACCACCATGCTTCACTGATGAGGTGGTATGCTTAGGATCATGAACAGTTCCTTTCCTTCTCCATACTCTTCTCTTCCCATCACTCTGGTACAAGTTGATCTTGGTCTCATCTGTCCATAGGATGTTGTTCCAGAAGTGTGAAGGCTTTTTTAGATGTCGTTTGGCAAACTCTAATCTGGCCTTCCTGTTTTTGAGGCTCACCAATGGCTTACATCTTGTGGTGAACCCTCTGTATTCACACTGGTGAAGTCTTCTCTTGATTGTTGACTTTGACACACATACACCTACCTCCTGGAGAGTGTTCTTGAATTGACCAACTGTTGTGAAGGGTGTTTTCTTCACCAGGGAAAGAATTCTTCGGTCATCCACCACAGTTGTTTTCCGTGTTCTTCCAGGTCTTTTGGTGTTGTTGAGCTCACCGGTGCATTCCTTCTTTTTAAGGATGTTCCAAACAGTTGTTTTGGCCACGCCTAATGTTTTTGCTATCTCTCTGATGGGTTTGTTTTGTTTTTTCAGCCTAATGATGGCTTGCTTCACTGATGGTGACAGCTCTTTGGATCTCATCTTGAGAGTTGACAGCAACAAATTCCAAATGCAAATAGCACACTTGAAATGAACTCTGGACCTTTTATCTGCTCATTATAATTTGGATAATGAGGGAATAACACACACCTGGCCATGGAACAGCTGAGAAGCCAATTGTCCCATTACTTTTGGTCCCTTAAGAAGTGGGAGGCACATATGCAAACTGTTGTAATTCCTACACCGTTCACCTGATTTGGATGTAAATACCCTCAAATTAAAGCTGACAGTCTGCAGTTAAATCACATCTTGTTCGTTTGATTTGAAATCCATTGTGGTGGTGTATAGAGCCAAAAATGTTAGAATTGTGTCGATGTCCCAATATTTATGGACCTGACTGAAAGTGCCCGGTAGGCAAGTGGTTAAAGGAAAACTTTCATTACATTACAGCTATAAATTACAGCTATAAAATGAACCAGTAGGTATCTGATTTATTATGTGTGATTTAAAATTAATAAACCCATTTACTAAGACAAGGTTTTGTTTTTATTACAGATGAATATGAAGAAGCTTTAAAGGTATGCAAATTAGAATACTGCTATGTTTGCATAAATTTTTTTATTTAATTGTGCACGTAATATTTTTGTAATAAGATGATCATTGGAGCGCAGGGGCTGTTACTGTTTAGTTCATATATGGGATGTATTTGTCACAATGCTTTAGGCATTAGGTAGGGGACATATACTGTTGCAGTTTAATTTGGTGCTAGGGATTACGTTTGGTGAGGGAATCCCTGGTTGTCATTAGGGCCACCTGACAACATTTTTTTTTTTACTTTTCACTCTCGGTGATAATAGTAAACAGGACAAATAGGGTGAATCACAGACAGCAATAAAAAACCTGACAGGTGTTCTAATCCATCTCCACGCTATCCAAAACTTAAAAAAAACAGTTTTGCCTTTTAGTTATACTTTAAGGGTTAGGGTGTTGGTGGGGTGAGTCTTAAAGTGTATTCCCACTTTTGCAGCTAAATTGGGATAACATCTACTTTATATTTGTTACATGTTCTGACTGACCTAGCATAACTGAAAATTTGCAGCTTAGTTTGTTTAGATTTTCTGTTCTGGACCCTCTAGCAAAGAAAAAAATCTAGGTTATTCTTTATTTGAGGGGGCTGGGCAGCCATGTTTGCTATACTTAACCCTATCTGTATTGTTCAGGCAGATCTTCATTCTCAAGCCTCATGCACACTAGGCTCTTCTGAACTCCTTTATCTTGACAGGGCAAAAGCGGTGTTTAAAAACGCAACTAAAGCTGCATTTTTCAATGCTAATTTCATTGGCCAGAATATTAATTTTATATTGGTTATATTTGATGATCTGTGCAGATTTTTTTTTATTGATGACCTACATTATACTATATATACTATATACTTTATTAAGCCATACATGATGTGCTAAATATTTTTCCTGTATTTAGATTGCAGTAAAGCAGGGAGGAATCCTTCAGATGATTGTGTATGACAAGAATCAACTGTCTCAGACTGCCCGGTCCATTAGGACATCAGAGCCAGGCAGTGCAGTCTGGGCTGTCAAAAGATCCCTGCAACAGTGTACCCTGGTACCTAGGTCAGCAGAACCAGAAAGGCAAAATGAAGAAACCTCCACAGCGATAATGGTAATTACATAATTCTGTGCATTCATCTTCATTTGTTTTACCTGAAACTCTAATATAAGTTATAGTGTTTAGTTGTTTACAGTGTCCCTTTTTGGCTTCATGTAAAATATGTAATGTTATAAATAATTTCAGGGCTTGACAATTTTGCTTTGAATCTAGGAGCCAGCTAAAAATGTTAGGAGTAGGGTGCCCGGAATTGCATGTTCGGGGCAATGAGCAATAGGAATTTTACTGCAAATTGACAGCCCCATATATTCATCAAAGAGACATTCCATCCCAGCAAAGAGACATTGCAATCCAGCAGAGACATTTCCATATTGCAAAAAGACAGCCCAATTCAGCAGGGACATCTCCATAGATTCAGCAAAGAGCCAGCTCAATCCAGCAAAGAGCCAGCCCCATATAGCAAAGAGACAGCCCAATCAAGCAAAGAGCCATCCCCTCCAGAAAACAGACATCCCCTCCAGCATAGAGCCCAAAAACGTCAGCTCAGCTCACAGATATAGGAATTGTGCAGCAGCAATGTAGCAGCTACACATTCAATGGGCAGGCCATGATAGCTCCTTTCCTCCTCTTCACCACTACCGACCAACTAAGCTCCGATCCTGGCTCAGTGATGCAAGATGCAGCCTTTCTCTGTTTGACTGAACCTCGCTCCACCACCGGTCAAGTGACCCTGATGTCTCGCCCATCCGCTGCCACCTGCCATAAAAAGGAAGCAGAGCGGGCAGCTCGGGACACCAGGAGCGCAGTCAAGGAGTGACAGACAGCCTGATGCTCAGTGAGTTCACAGCACACTCTGTACTTGGGGTGGCGGGTGCGGAACAGTAAATGGGCTGACAAAACCCCAGGCACCAGGATGCAATTTCTAGTCTCCATGGTGACTTGGCACCTGGAATTTGTCAAGCCCTGGACTATTTATTTCCTATACATTAACTTGTAACACAACATTCCTATGCACCTAAAAATATAGAGGGCTTCACTGCATACTGTAGGTCTGGGTTGTGTAGGTGTGAAGTTGCTTTGGCTCCTGCAGTAACCTAAAATAGGTAAGAAATTGGGGAAAAAACTGATATTGATGAATTTCAGCTTCACCCAAATCACAATAATTTTATTTCAGAGATAAATAAACCAAAGATACCAAGGCCACTGTAAGAATATTTTTTGCTCTCAGGAGAAAAATATCCGTTATTGTGCCCATAAACCAGCAGGAGTTGCTCCTTGCTTTGTAAAGAAGTAAATAGGCAGTTATTAATTTCCCTGCTGTTTTTGGACATTTCATAGCTTAACTGATCTTATCATAAAGAAACCTTTCCTATACTGGTGGTATTCCCTTCATAGCAGATAATATGTCCCTGGTGCCCAGTCACGGGGCCCCTGCAGATTTCAATGTGTTTCCCTGTTGCCCTTTTACAGTAGTGATTGTCTCCTGAAGCCTATCTCTAGCAACTCTTATAGCATGTTCAGAGACTTTGACAGTCTCATTCAGCATGTCTGCAGTTTTTGACCATCTTGTGTATCATGTCTGCAGTCTCTGACCATGTCTTGTACCTTGTCCACAGTCTCTGGCCATCTCTTGTATCATATCTACAATATCTGACCATCTCTTGTATGATGTCTGCAGTCTCTGACCATGTCTTGTATCTTGTCCACACTCTGGCCATCTCTTGTATCATGTCTACAATATCTGACCATCTCTTGTTTGCAATCTCTGATCATCTCCTGTATTATGTCCACAGTCTCTGACCATATCCTGTATTATGTCTGCAGTCTCTGACCAACTCCAGTATTATGTATGCAGTCCCTGACCATCTCTTGTGTCAAGGCCGCAGTCTCTAACCATCTCTTGTGTCATGGCCGCAGTCTCTGACCATCTCTTGTGTCATGGCCGCAATCTCTAACCATCTCTTGTGTCATGGCCGCAGTCTTTGACCATCTCTTGTGTCATGGCCGCAGTCTTTGACCATCTCTTGTGTCATGGCCGCAGTCTTTGACCATCTCTTGTGTCATGGCCGCAGTCTCTGACCATCTCGTGTCATGGCAGCAGTCTCTGACCATCTCTTGTATCATGGCCGCAGTCTTTGACCATCTCTTGTATCATGGCCGCAGTCTTTGACCATCTCTTGTGTCATGGCCGCAGTCTTTGACCATCTCTTGTGTCATGTCTGCAGTCCCTGACCATCTTCTGTATTATGTCTGTGGTCTCTGACCAACTGCAGTATTATATATGCAGTCTCTGACCATATCCTGTATTATGTCTGCAGTCTCTGACCATATCCTGTATTATGTCTACAATATCTGACCATCTCTTGTATCATGTCTGCTGTCTCTGATAATCTCTTTTGTGTCATGGCCGCATTCTCTAACCATCTCTTGTGTCATGGCCGCATTCTCTAACCATCTCTTGTGTCATGGCCGCATTCTCTGACCATCTCTTGTGTCATGGCCACAGTCTCTGAACATCTCTTGTGTCATGGCTGCAGTCTCTGACCTTCTCTTGTGTCATGGCCGCAGTCTCTGACCATCTCTTGTGTCATGGCCGCAGTCTTTGACCATCTCTTGTGTCATGGCCGCAGTCTCTGACCATCTCTTGTGTCATGTCTGCAGTCTCTGACCATCTCCTGTATTATGTCTGCAGTCTCTGACCATCTCCTGTATTATGTCTGCTTTCTCTGACCATCTCTTGTATCATGTGTACAATATCTTACCATCTCTTGTATCATGTCTGCAGTCTCTGATCATTTCCTGTGTCATGTCCACAGTCTCTGACCATCTGTTGTGTCATTCTCATAGTCTTTGACTATATCCTGTTGACGTTCAGAGCACATTTTATGCCCAATTCATGCAAAACTCCACGTAACCCCAAGGGGTTCACATACTTTTTCTTGCAACTGTACAGTGGGGAAACAGATGTAAAGGACTCGGGGACTTGGGAATACCAGTGAACAGTAAAACTGGACAGATCTTTTTTTTTTTTTTATTACAATAAACTGTGAGGGCTCTGATGAGATCTATTGTAGCTTATTTTATTTTTTTTCTTAGGAGCCGGGAGATCGGCAAATCATGGGTGCAATGTCCAGCTCCTGCAGACTGTCAGTACAGCTGTCTGCCCGCGCCTTGTATAGGAAGACTGTTACTAAAGTCCAGGAAGATCAATAAGCTACAATAGATCTCACCAGAGCCCTCACAGTTTATTGGGGGCAACAAGCTGTCTGCCACTGTGGCAGGCAGTACGCGTAGTTCATTCATTTACAAACTCTGTGAATGACACCACAGCCATGCTATTTTTGAATTGTGACAGTGGGTGCGGGGAGAAGATCCCATTTCCAATGTCACAATGGGTGATTAAGTCACAGTGCCAGCAGATGCTTTAGTAACATGTTACACCCTGAATATGGGTGTAACATATTACTAAAGGTGAACTTATCCTTTAGTTTATTCCAAGCAACAGTCTCATAAGATCTTGGTAAATAGATGCAGGTAAAGTGCTGCCCTTATATCAATTACTATTATTAGTAAGTTTGAATTCGGAATATGAAGTATAGTTTTGGGTACCATAGTCTAGAGAGGACATAAAGGATGTGTAGCGTGTACAAAGTTAACCAAGCTACTGAAGGGGATGGGAAATCTTACTTGTACTAAAAGGTTAGTAATTCTGGGTTTATGCAGTTTAAGCAAATATCTTAGAGGCATTCCATTTAACATTTATAATGTATGCAAGGTCAGCTTAAAGATATGGCAAGGATACATTACATTGGGGATCAATTTTCTTGATATGGGGGGCCTTTAATTGCAGCCCCTGACATCACCAAAGGATTGCACATAAAATTCAGTGAATATTCACTATCAAAGACAGTAGACACACAACAGGATATAGTCAAAGACTATGAGAATGACACAACAGATGGTCAGAGACTGTGGACATGACACAGGAAATGATCAGAGACTGCAGACATGATACAAGAGATGGTAAGATATTGTACACATGATACAAGAGATGGTCAGAGACTGCAGACATGACACGAGATGGTCAGAGACTGCAGACATGACACAAGAGATGGTCAAAGACTGCGGCCATGACACAAGAGATGGTCAGAGACTGCAGCCATGACACAAGAGATGGTCAGAGACTGCGGCCATGACACAAGAGATGGTCAGAGAATGCGGCCATGACACGAGATGGTTAGAGAATGCGGCCATGACACAAAAGAGATGATCAGAGACAGCAGACATGATACAAGAGATCAGAGACAGCGGACATGATACAAGAGATGGTCAGATATTGTAGACATAATACAGGATATGGTCAGAGACTGCATATATAATACTGGAGTTCGTCAGAGACCACAGGCATAATACAGGAGATGGTCAGGGACTGCAGACATGACACAAGAGATGGTCAAAGACTGCGGCCATGACACAAGAGATGGTCAAAGACTGCGGCCATGACACAAGAGATGGTCAAAGACTGCGGCCATGATACAAGAGATGGTCAAAGACTGCGGCCATGATACAAGAGATGGTCAAAGACTGCGGCCATGATACAAGAGATGGTCAGAGACTGCGGCCATGACACAAGAGATGGTCAGAGACTGCGGCCATGACACAAGAGATGGTCAAAGACTGCGGCCATGACACAAGAGATGGTCAAAGACTGCGGCCATGACACAAGAGATGGTCAAAGACTGCGGCCATGACACAAGAGATGGTCAAAGACTGCGGCCATGACACAAGAGATGGTCAAAGACTGCGGCCATGACACAAGAGATGGTCAAAGACTGCGGCCATGACACAAGAGATGGTCAAAGACTGCGGCCATGACACAAGAGATGGTCAGAGACTGCGGCCTTGACACAAGAGATGGTCAGAGACTGCGGCCTTGACACAAGAGATGGTCAGAGACTGCGGCCATGACACAAGAGTTGATCAGAGACAGTGGACATGATACAAGAGCTGGTCAGATATTATAGACATAATACAGGATATGGTCAGGGACTGCA